ACTCTCCGAGGGTGTCTCAGGGGGAGTTGGCCCTTTGGCCCAATCTCGAGGGTTTGTCTCAGGGGAGTTGGCCGTGGCCCCACTCTCCGAGGGTTTTGTCCTCAGGGGGAGTTGGCCGTTGCCCCCACTTCCGAGGGTTGTCTCAGGGGGAGTTGGCCGTTGGCCCCACTCTCCGAGGGTTTTGTCTCAGGGGGGGTTGGCCCTGGCCCCACTCTCAGGGTGTTCAGGGGGATTGGCGTGGCCCAATCAGAGGGTGTCAGGGGGGAGTTGGCGTGGCCCCACTCTCCGAGGGTGTTCCCGGGGGAGTTGGCCGTGGCCACCCCCCTCGAGGGTATCTTAGGGGGAGTGGCGTTGGCCCACTTCGAGGTTGTCTCAGGGGGAGTTGGCCGTGGCCCCACTCTCGAGGGTTGTCTAGGGGGGAGTTTGGGCCCTGGCCCCCCTTCTGAGGGTTTTGTCTAAAGGGGGGGTTGGCCCTGGCCCCACTCTCCCAGGGTTCTCAGGGGGAGTTGGCCGTGGCCCACTCTCGAGGGGTGTCTCAGGGGGGGAGTTGCGCCGTGGCCCCACTTACGAGGGTTGTCTCAGGGGGGGGTTGGCCGTGGCCACCTCTCCGAGGGTGTCTCAGGGGGAGTTGGCCGTGGCCCCACTCTCCGAGGGTGTCTCAGGGGGAGTTGGCCGTGGCCCCACTCTCCGAGGGTGTCTCAGGGGGAGTTGGCCGTGGCCCCACTCTCCGAGGGTGTCTCAGGGGGAGTTGGCCGTGGCCCCACTCTCCGAGGGTGTCTCAGGGGGAGTTGGCCGTGGCCCCACTCTCCGAGGGTGTCTCAGGGGGAGTTGGCCGTGGCCCCACTCTCCGAGGGTTTCTCAGGGGGAATTGGCCTTGACCCCACTCTCCGAGGGTGTCTCAGGGGGAGTTGGCCGTGACCCCACTCTCCGAGGGTGTCTCAGGGGGAGTTGGCCATTACCCCACTCTCCGAGGGTGTCTCAGGGGGAGTTGGCCGTTACCCCACTCTCCGAGGGTGTCTCAGGGGGAGTTGGCCGTGACCCCACTCTCCAAGGGTGTCTCAGGGGGAGTTGGCCGTTACACCACTTTCCGAGGGTGTCTCAGGGGGATTTGGCCGTTACCGCCCTCTCCGAGGGTGTTTGTCTCAGGGGGAGTTGGCCGTGACCCCACTCTCCGAGGGTGTCTCAGGGGGAGTTGGCCGTTACCCCACTCTCCGAGGGTGTCTCAGGGGGAGTTGGCCGTTACCCCACTCTCCGAGGGTGTCTCAGGGGGAGTTGGCCGTGACCCCACTCTCCAAGGGTGTCTCAGGGGGAGTTGGCCGTGAAAGCCCTCTCCGAGGGTGTCTCGGGGGAGTTGGCCATGAACCCACTCTCCGAGGGTGGTCTCAGGGGGAGTTGGCCGTGACCCCACTCTCCGAGGGTTGTCTCAGGGGGAGTTGGCCGTGACCCCACTCTCCGAGGGTGTCTCAGGGGGAGTTGGCCGTGACCCCACTCTCCGAGGGTGTCTCAGGGGGAGTTGGCCGTGACCCCACTCTCCGAGGGTGTCTCAGGGGGAGTTGGCCGTGACCGCCCTCTCCGAGGGTGCAAAAAACACATTTCCAGTTCACACATGCCTATAATACACACTTGGACATGTGTGGAACAGGACAAATATCAGCACCCACTAAATTATTATTATTATTATTATTATTATTATACCATAGATTAGCTTTCAAGCAGGCTACATTTGACTTTTTAGTCGTTCAGCAGACACTCTTATCCAGAGCGAATTACAGTTAGATGAGTTAGTTAGCGTACACTCATTTTGACAAAATTGCATGTGAGGCCCCAGCAGAGTGATGCAATAACGTTATCATATTTGTGTAATAATAGTGTGTACATTGTGACACCACATACAGTTCTAGGACTGACTGTCTGTCATTGTAAGTATGGACCATCCAAGATGAGGACTGATTGAACGCGTATGAGTAGGGGCTGAGAACTCAATTCAACTCAAGACCAAGCCCTACAGCCATTCAAGCTTTTGCATTCACTTAATTATATTATATAAGCCGTAAAAATGTAAGATTGATATGTAGAAGAAAATCATAATTCTCACACAGTCATGCATAATACAGCTATAACTTATTTCCCTGAGAGTTGTACCCCAGTAGATTTTTCACCAGCAGCTGAAAATACGTAATACATTCATCCACCCACGCGTGCACGCACACACACAAACACGCACACACACACAAACACGCACAAACACAACGCACACACACACACACACACCTCTGTCCTCTAATCAGACAATCATCACCAGCATGCAGCCTGTGCCATTCTCCTTCCTACCCTATCAGACAGTCATCACCAGCATGCAGCCTGTGCCATTCTCATTCCTCACCTATCAGACAGTCATCACCAGCATGCAGCCTGTGCCATTCTCCTTCCTACCCTATCAGACAGTCATCACCAGCAGGGGTTCAAGGGGAGGGAGACTATTCCGCAGATGAACTGCGGGCAGGGCCAGGGAAATGAGGAAATCTAAATATGCGTCCCATTTGGGACACTGACTAAATGAACAGTCAACTGAACTATTTAAACATGATTCATGTGGCAGACACTTTCAGCCGATCCTGTACGTTGATTTCCAAGGATGGAGAGTGAGATTGGACAGCCCTGGCTCAGAGGATCTCATCTAAGGCCTGGATTCAATCAGATCAAGCGTTAACCGGCGATAGCAGACACCTGCATAGCTGATGTTTTGGTGGTGTCAGAGATGGAACTGAGCTGGAGCCGTCAAATCGGTGAGCAGCTGCTCTTGCGATCACTCTCACGAAGCCACACCCGCCCCACTTGCGTTAGAAGTACAGAATGAGAAAGTGTATATACATGATATATATATATATATATATATACAGTGGGGAGAACAAGTATTTGATACACTGCCGATTTTGCAGGTTTTCCTACTTACAAAGCATGTAGAGGTCTGTAATTTTTATCATAGGTACACTTCAACTGTGAGAGACGGAATCTAAAACAAAAATCCAGAAAATCACATTGTATGATTTTTAAGTAATTAATTGGCATTTTATTGCAATGTCCGCTTTAGGGATAATGCCTGGAGCCACTTTGGACAGCTCTAACTCAGTTCCACTTCTGACATCGTCAAAACAACCGCCATGCGGATGTTGGCTAAAGCGGATCTGATATACGTCTATCTGTTCTCTGTCCTGCAATCTGCAATGAGCCATGCAATATAAACTCTTGTTTCTCTTTCCTCAGTGGAGAAAAGTCACTCAGTCAGACCAGGGGCATATATATATATATATGAGCTGACTCAGACACAAGCTAACGAGGCCTTCTATGCTAAACAAGTTTCAGTTCCCTCTGACAGAGTTCAGCTTTGGCAAAGAAAAGAAGGAGAAAGGACTTTATCATTTTTATTAAGTCTTTACAGTCCTCATAACATCTCCAATACTGTAGCTTCAACAGCACAAACTGGGAGGCACAATCATTAATAAGTCATCCAAAAGTAATTTCAGCCTTGTGAAATCTGGTTCATTGCCACATTCTAATGATCACGAAAGTTGTGAAGATGACGTGGCTAAACACCATGGGACCACGCAGCCGTCATACCGCTCAGGAAGGAGATGCGTTCTGTCTCCTAGAGATGAACGTACTTTGGTGCGAAAAGTGCAAATCAATCCCAGAACAACAGCAAAGGACCTTGTGAAGATGCTGGAGGAAACAGGTACAAAAGCATCTATATCCACAGTAAAACGAGTCCTATATCGAAATAGCCTGAAAGGCCGCTCAGCAAGGAAGAAGCCACTGCTCCAAAACCGCCATAAAAAAGCCAGACTACGGTTTGCAACTGCACATGGTGACAAAGATCGTACTTTTTGGAGAAATGTCCTCTGGTCTGATGAAACAAAAATAGAACTGTTTGGCCATAATGACCATCGTTATGTTTGGAGGAAAAGGGGGCGCTTGCAAGCCGAAGAACACCATCCTAACCGTGAAGAACGGGGGTGGCAGCATCATGCTGTGCGGTGCTTTGCTGCAGGAGGGACTGGTGCACTTCACAAAATAGATGGCATCACGAGGAAGGAAAATTATGTGGATATATTGAAGCAACATCTCAAGACATCAGTCAGGAAGTTAAAGCTTGGTCGCAAATGGGTCTTCCAAATGGACAATGACCCCAAGCATACTTCCAAAGCTGTGGCAAAATGGCTTAAGGACAACAAAGTCATGGTATTGGAGTGGCCATCACAAAGCCCTGACCTCAATCCTATAGAACATTTGTGGGCAGAACTGAAAAAGCGTGTGCGAGCAAGGAGGCCTACAAACCTGACTCAGTTACACCAGATCTGTCAGGAGGAATGGGCCAAAATTCACCCAACTTATTGTGGGAAGCTTGTGGAAGGCTACCCGAAACGTTTGACCCAAGTTAAACAATTGAAAGGCAATGCTACCAAATACTAATTGAGTGTATGTAAACTTCTGATCCACTGGGAATGTGATGAAATAAATAAAAGCTGAAATAAATCATTCTCTCTACTATTATTCTGACATTTCACATTCTTAAAATAAAGTGGTGATCCTAACTGACCTAAAACAGGGAATTTGTACTAGGATTAAATGTCAGGAATTGTGAAAAACTGAGTTTAAATATATTTGGCTAAGGTGTATGTAAACTTCCGACTACAACTGTATACTGAGGTACAGTGACCCTGATGAGGGCGGTGGGTAGCCTAGCGGTTAAGAGCGTTGGGCCAGTAACTGAAAGGTGACTGGTTTGAATCCCCGAAGCCTACAATGTGAAAAATCTGTCAAGGCACTTAAACCTAATTGCTCCTGTAAGAGTCTCTGGATAAGACTGTCTGCTAAATGACTAAAATGTAAAATGTAATGTTTACGTTAGGGCTGGGCAGTTGTCCAGGCTGAGTGGTGAAGTCCAGGCTGGTGGCCAGCAGTTTTTCCCCCAGGATGGAGGTGAGGTAGTGGGCCATGACATCCTGCTGAGTCGGGGTACAGTGGTTCTCCAGAGACAGGATCACTGGGTACGGAGACACCTGGCACAGAATAGTCTCTCTCAAGGGTCTGGCATGCCAGCAAGACACAAGATAACCATACCAGCGATGTGGTCCTGTGTGGCTCAGTTTGGGTTCAATTCTCATAGGAGTCACATACACATACTTTAAAAAATATAATCACGTTTCACAGTAAATAGCCCATTGCCAAGCTCGCAGAATCAAAGAGGCCCATCTCCCCTACAGTGCATAACACCTCTATTAGTGATGGTAGCCAATTAATTAGAATGCGCACAACACACCAGGAGGTACAGTAGAACCTTGAGGCAATGTTCTGTTTCCATTACCGTCCTAGTGAGTGGGGGGTGTCCTAAAATGTACACCGTATGTGTTCTGTATCTGTGGTGTGGTACCTCGAAGGCATGTTGCTCGACAGTAGCGATGACGTCCTTGAACAGGATCTTGCTGGTCAGAGTGTGGCCGTGGTAGACTACAGGCTCTGCGCCAGGACCGTCCCAGCAGTCGATCTCCAGACAGCGGCAACCTCTCCGCAGTGCACTGGGGACACAGAGAGAGACGGATGGACGAGCACGCACACAAGACGATTACTAGGAGGAGACGAAGGAGGACATCTACAGTTTACCAGCGACATACAGAGAACATCTAATACAAGTCATAATATACCCAAACCCAATTTCTTTCACAGTTTATCACTCAGGCTGTTCTACAGGACATTAAAGTTAATTCTGCAGACCCGTCAAAAAAAATTCATGTTTTTTCGATTATAATTTTTTTTCCATTTTGCGTTATTCAGTACCAAAACGTTGAATGATTAATGAGTTAATAACCATCAAACCAAAATGTACAGCAATATAAAAGCACAGAAACAAAAAAGGAGTGGGACATTTGAATAGATTTCCTTCAGGCACACAGACTTGTCACCCTGAATGTAACAGAAGTTTGAGTCATTCTTGGTCTTTGTACTGATTCAACTCTCCCTTTCCTCCCTATGCTCATCTGACAGCGCAGAGTCACCTCCCCTTTTTTATTTATTTTATTTTTATTTATTTAACCTTTATTTAACCAGGTAAGCCAGTTGAGAACAAGTTCTCATTTACAACTGCGACCTGGCCAAGATAAAGCAAAGCAGTGCGATAAAAACAACAACACAGAGTTACATATGGGGTAAAACAAAACATAAAGTCAAAAAATACAACAGAAATATATATACAGTGTGTGCAAATGTAGCAAGTTATGGAGGTAAGGCAATAAATAGGCGATAGTGCAAAATAATTACAATTAGTATTAACACTGGAATGATAGATGTGCAAGAGATGATGTGCAAATAGAGATACTGGGGTGCAAATGAGCAAACATAAATAACAATATGGGGATGAGGTAGTTGGGTGGGCTAATTTCAGATGGGCTGTGTACAGGTGCAGTGATCGGTAAGGTGCTCTGACAACTGATGCTTAAAGTTAGTGAGGGAGATAAGTGTCTCTTTTTGCAATTCGTTCCAGTCATTGGCAGCAGAGAACTGGAAGGAATGGCGGCCAAAGGAGGTGTTGGCTTTGGGGATGACCAGTGAGATATACCTGCTGGAGCGCATACTACGGGTGGGTGTTGCTATGGTGACCAATGAGCTAAGATAATGCGGGGATTTGCCTAGCAGTGATTTATAGATGGCCTGGAGCCAGTGGGTTTGGCGACAAATATGTAGTGAGGACCAGCCAACAAGAGTGTACAGGTCACAGTGGTGTGTAGTGTATGGGGCTTTGGAGACAAAACGGATGGCACTGTGATAGACTACATACAATTTGCTGAGTAGAGTGTTGGAGGCTATTTTGTAAATGACATCGCCGAAGTCAAGGATCAGTAGGATAGTCAGTTTTACGAGGGCATGTTTGGCAGCTTGAGTGAAGGAGGCTTTGTTGCGAAATAGGAAGTCAATTCTAGATTTAACTTTGGATTGGAGATTCTTAATGTGAGTCTGGAAGGAGAGTTTACAGTCTAACCAGACACCTAGGTATTTGTAGTTGTCCACATACTCTAGGTCAGACCCGCCGAGAGTAGTGATTCTAGTCGGGTGGGCGGGTGCCAGCAGCGTTCGATTGAAGAGCATGCATTTAGTTTTACTAGTGTTTAAGAGCAGTTGGAGGCTACTGAAGGAGTGTTGTATGGCATTGAAGCTCGTTTGGAGGTTTGTTAACACAGTGTCCAATGAAGGGCCAGATGTATACAAAATGGTGTCGTCTGCGTAGAGGTGGATCTGAGAGTCACCAGCAGCAAGAGCGACATCATTGATATACACGGAGAAAAGAGTCGGCCCAAGAATTGAACCCTGTGGCACCCCCATAGAGACTGCCATAGGTCCAGACAACAGACCCTCCGATTTGACACATTGAACTCTATCTGAGAAGTAGTTGGTGAACCAGGCGAGGCAGTCATTTGAGAAACCAAGGCTATTTAGTCTGCCAATAAGAATGCGGTGGTTGACAGAGTTGAAAGCCTTGGCCAGGTCGATGAAGATGGCTGCACAGTACTGTCTATTATCGATCGCGGTTATAACATCATTTAGGACCTTGAGCGTGGCTAAAGTGCACCCATGACCAGCTCGGAAACCGGATTGCATAGCGGAGAAGGTACGGTGGGAATCGAAATGGTCGGTGATCTGTTTGTTAACTTGACTTTCAAAAACTTTCGAAAGGCAGGGCAGGATGGATATAGGTCTGTAACAGTTTGGATCTAGAGTGTCACCCCCTTTGAAGAGGGGGATGACCGCGGCAGCTTTCCAATCTCTGGGGATCTCAGACGTTACGAAAGAGAGGTTGAACAGGCTAGTAATAGGGATTGCGACAATTACGGCGGCTAGTTTTAGAAAGAAAGGGTCCAGATTGTCTAGCCCAGATGATTTGTAGGGGTCAAGATTTTGCAGCTCTTTCAGAACATCAGCTGTCTGAATTTGTGTGAAGGAAAAGCGGGGGGGGGCATGGGCAAGTTGCAGCGGAGGGTGCAGAGCTAGTGCCCGGGGTAGTGGTAGCCAGGTGGAAAGCATGGCCAGCCGTAGCAAAATGCTTGTTGAAATTCTCGATTATTGTAGATTTATCGGTGGTGATAGTGTTTCCTAGCCTCAGTGCAGTGGGCAGCTGGGAGGAAGTGCTCTTATTCTCCATGGACTTTACAGTGTCCCAAAACTTTTTGGAGTTAGTGCAACAGGATGCAAATTTCTGTTTGAAAAAGTTAGCCTTTGCTTTCCTAACTGCCTGTGTATATTGGTTCCTAACTTCCCTGAAAAGTTGCTTATCGCGGGGGCTATTTGATGCTAATGCAGTACGCCACAGGATGTTTTTGTGCTGGTCAAGGGCAGTCAAGTCTGAGGAGAACCAGGGGCTAGATCTGTTCTTAGTTCTGTATTTTTTGAATGGGGCATGTTTATTTAAGATTGAGAGGAAATTACTTTTAAAGAACAACCAGGCATCCTCTACTGACGGAATGAGATTTATATCCATCCAGGATACCTGGGCCAGGTCAATTAGGAAGGCCTGCTCGCTAAAGTGTTTTAGGGAGCGTTTGACAGTGACAGTGACAGATGAGGGGTGGTCGTTTGACCGCGGACCCATTACGGACACAGGCAATAAGGCAGTGATCGCTGAGATCCTGGTTGAAGACAGCGGAGGTGTATTTAGAGGGTAAGTTAGTCAGGATGATATCTATGAGGGTACCCATGTTTACGGATTTAGGGTTGTACCTGGTAGGTTCGTTGATAATTTGTGTGAGATTGAGGGCATCTAGTTTGGATTGTAGGATGGCTGGGGTGTTAAGCATATCCCAATTTAGGTCACCAAGCAGTACGAACTCTGAGGATAAATGGGGGGCAATCAATTCACATATGGTGTCCAGGGCACAGCTGGGGGCTGAGGGGGGTCTGTAGCAAGCGGCAACATTGAGAGACTTATTTCTAGAAAGGTGGATTTTTAGAAGTAGAAGCTCAAACTGTTTGGGCTCAGACCTGGATAGTATGATAGAGCTCTGCAGGCTCTCTCTACAGTAGATTGCAACTCCACCCCCTTTGGCAGTTCTATCTTGACGGAAAATGTTATAGTTGGGGATGGAAATTTCAGAATTTTTGGTGGCCTTCCTAAGCCAGGATTCAGACACTGCTAGAACATCAGGGTTGGCGGAGTGTGCTAACGCAATGAATAACTCAAACTTAGGAAGTAGACTTCTGATATTAACATGCAGAAAACCAAGGCTTTTACGGTTACAGAAGTCAACAAATGATAGTTCCTGGGGAGTAGGAGTGATACTGGGGGTCTGCAGGGCCTGGGTTAGCCTCTACATCACCAGAGGAACAGAGGAGGAGTAGAATAAGGATAGCTGAGTAAACCAGGCCTCCCCTCCCCAGTCACCTCCCCTTTCAATAGCTGAGTAAACCAGGCCTCCCCTCCCCAGTCACCTCCCCTTTCAATAGTTGAGTAAACCAGGCCTCCCCTCCCCAGTCACCTCCCCTTTCATTAGCTGAGTAAACCAGGCCTCCCCTCCCCAGTCACCTCCCCTTTCATTAGCTGAGTAAACCAGGCCTCCCCTCCCCAGTCACCTCCCCTTTCAATAGCTGAGTAAACCAGGCCTCCCCTCCCCAGTCACCTCCCCTTTCAATAGCTGAGTAAACCAGGCCTCCCCCACCAGACCTCCCCTCCCCAGTCATCTCCCCAGTCACCTCCCCTTTCAATAGCTGAGTAAACCAGGCCTCCCCTCCCCAGTCACCTCCCCTTTCATTAGCTGAGTAAACCAGGCCTCCCCCACCAGACCTCCCCTCCCCAGTCATCTCCCCAGTCACCTCCCCTTTCAATAGCTGAGTAAACCAGGCCTCCCCTCCCCAGTCACCTCCCCTTTCAATAGCTGAGTAAACCAGGCCTCCCCTCCCCAGTCACCTCCCCTTTCATTAGCTGAGTAAACCAGGCCTCCCCCACCAGACCTCCCCTCCCCAGTCATCTCCCAGTCACCTCCCCTTTCAATAGCTGAGTAAACCAGGCCTCCCCTCCCCAGTCACCCTCCCCTTTCAATAGCTGAGTAAACCAGGCCTCCCCTCCCCAGTCACCTCCCCTTTCATTAGCTGAGTAAACCAGGCCTCCCCACCAGACCTCCCCTCCCCAGTCACCTCCCCAGTCACCTCCCCTTTCATTAGCTGAGTAAACCAGGCCTCCCCCACCAGACCTCCCCTCCCCAGTCATCTCCCCAGTCACCTCCCCTTTCATTAGCTGAGTAAACCAGGCCTCCCCACCAGACCTCCCCTCCCCAGTCACCTCCCCAGTCACCTCCCCTTTCATTAGCTGAGTAAACCAGGCCTCCCCCACCAGACCTCCCCTCCCCAGTCATCTCCCCAGTCACCTCCCCTTTCATTAGCTGAGTAAACCAGGCCTCCCCCACCAGACCTCCCCACCCCAGTCACCTCCCCTTTCATTAGCTGAGTAAACCAGGCCTCCCCTCTCCAGTCTCCCCCACCAGACCTCCCCTCCCCAGTCATCTCCCCAGTCACCCTCCCCTTTCATTAGCTGAGTAAACCAGGCCTCCCCCCACCAGACCTCCCCTCCCCAGTCACCTCCCCAGTTCACCTCCCCTTTCAGTAGCTGAGTAAACCAGGCCTCCCCTCCCCAGTCTCCCCCACCAGACCTCCCCTCCCCAGTCATCTCCCCAGTCACCTCCCCTTTCATTAGCTGAGTAAACCAGGCCTCCCCCACCAGACCTCCCCTCCCCAGTCACCTCCCCCAGTCACCTCCCTTTCAATAGCTGAGTAAACCAGGCCTCCCCTCCCCAGTCTCCCCCACCAGACCTCCCCCTCCCCAGTCATCTCCCCAGTCCACCTCCCCTTTCATTAGCTGAGTAAACCAGGCCTCCCCCACCAGGCCTCCCTCCCAGTCTCCCCCACCAGACCTCCCCTCCCCAGTCATCTCCCCAGTCACCTCCCCTTTCATTAGCTGAGTAAACCAGCCCCCCCCCACCAGACCTCCCCTCCCCAGTCATCTCCCCAGTCACCTCCCCTTTCATTAGCTGAGTAAACCAGGCCTCCCCTCCCCAGTCATCTCCCCAGTCACTCAATTAGTGGGCTTTACTACAGTATATTACAGACAAGGGGGTGACGTGGGTGCATCCCGAATTACACCCTAGTCTCTAAATAGTGCGCTACTTTTGACCAGAGCCCTCAAAAGTAGTGCACTATATAGGGAATAGGGTGCCATTTTGGAAGCAGACATTGTATTAGACAGGAGTGAAAGAGTACTCTATATATTATACACAGAGGAAAGACAGTATATTACAGGAGAGAGAGTACTCTACTGGTCTCAGAGGGCCAATAAGGCCCCAGTTCTGCTGCCATCAGACCCTTTCTCACTCAGTTCACCTCCATTGTCCTTTAGTGAGAGGATGGAGAGGCTGCATTACTGAATATGAAGGAAAGACTGAGAGCAGACACTCTGGTTTGGGAGGAGAGGGTTTAAACTTTAAGAATGGCAGTGGATATACAACCAGCAGAAGCCATTCCTAACTAGTGTTATTACCTGACATAGGTAGTGTTATTACCTGACATAGGTAGTGTTATTACCTTATTTTTTTGTCATTGGGAATCGAACCCACAACCCTGGCGTTGCAAACGCCATGCTCTACCAACTGAGCTACATCCGTGCCGGCCATTCCCTCCCCTACCCTGGACGACGCTGGGCCAATTGTGCCGCCACATGGGTCTCCCAGTCGCGGCCGGCTACGACAGAGCCTGGATTCGAACCAGGATGTCTAGTGGCACAGCTAGCACTGCGATGCAGTGCCTTAGAACACTGCGCCACTCATTACCTGACATATGTAGTGTTATTACCTGACATAGGCGTCCAGGGTGCTCTTGCCGACCAGCTGGTCCCCAGTGAGGTAGGTATTGTGAGAAGAAGAGATGAAGTAGTGACAAAGAGGCTGGTCCATATCCTGGTACACAGACGTGTGTATCTGGTCAAACACTCTGCAGTCTTTAGACTCCATGTATCTGTAGAATCCCTCGAACGTCATGGTCCTGTTCTCTTTAGCTGCCAGGGGATACACAGAGGTTGGGTTAAAAGCCATCAACAACAAACAAACAAACGCATCACTCAGTCGGATGTGCTACTTTACTTGCGTGAGTAGCTCAGTTGGTAGAGCATGGCGTTTGCAACGCCAGGGTTGTGGGTTCGATTCCCACGTGGGGGGGGGCCAGTATGAAAAATGTATGCACTCACTAACTGCAAGTCGCTCTGGATAAGAGCGTCTGCTAAATGACTAAAATGTGTTTTTTTTTAAACGAGAGAAGGGAGTATTTCACAATTGAGAAAGAGTCTTGGTGTGCTTGTCTACTGATGAGCTTGACTTTCTTTGTATTAGTCGATGTCTCATCTTGTCAGCCTGAGGCCTCTATGCCTGAGCAGAGCATGTTGTCGCAGGGTGGCATTTCCATTGTGCTGTTTGTATAGCGGCAGGAGACGCTAAAAAAAGACTTGTGTCCGTTCTAATTTAAAACAAGCCGTGTCATCACGTGACTCAGCTGAGGCTAACAAATGCCTGGAGGGGTACAGTCATACATAACTACTGTACTGTAACCATACAAGGAAGTGAACAAGGAAACCTAATTAATTGTGCATCATGATAGGACAGAACAGTACCAAGTCCTGCCCCCCTGCCCCTTCACTCACCTGTCTCCTCAATCTCGTATCTGTCAATCAAGCCCTCCGCTGTCTCCTGATTGGCTGCTGCCTCCATCTGCTCCATGTGTAGGAACCTGAGGAGGGCGGAGGCGGCCAGAGTATTCCCTCCGGAGGAGGAGGAGTAGCATTGGTAGATGTTCTGGATCTCTGACCTTCTGGAGGTGAGGGCTTTGCTCTTCTTCATTCTCCCCCAGTAGACAGAGCCCTCAGGCCCCGTGACCCAGGTCTCACCCTGGCCCCTGTGGAAACTTTATTGTGTTTTAATCCTCAATGGTTTTTAATGTGTGGTATTGTTGTAGTCACATGGCTCAGGTAACTTGTTTTTTAAAATTGTCAAATACAATTCATTCCTTCTTTAAGACACAGTCACCATGGGCCCACTGGGACATAGAAGGGACTCATAGTTTACAGTTTATAATAGTTTACAGTTGATAATAATTTACAGTTGATAATAGTTTACAGTTTATACTAGTTTACAGTTTATAATAGTTTACAGTTGATAATAGTTTACAGTTTATACTAGTTTACAGTTTATAATAGTTTACAGTTGATAATAGTTTACAGTTGATAATAGTTTACAGTTTATACTAGTTTACAGTTTATCATAGTTTACAGTTGATAATAGTTTACAGTTTATAATACTCATACTGTAGTTGACATAATCCTAGATCCTAAGGCTTTATCAAACTCTGATGACGACTAATGTACTGTGTCTCTGTTCTATGGAAGTGCTTGAATGCTCATTGGGAATGGCATTGTTAGCAGCACTGACTGTGACACATAGACAGATATTCTGGTTCAAAGGAACATGAAAAAGACAGGTGCCTCTATCGAGTCCACTGACTCCAAGGTGGCACTCTTTTTTCAATGACATTGACCTGAAAATGTAATGCTGTGGCACCAATCAAATGTAGGCCGACTGTTAATGACACACAGGGATTAGCTGTGATGAAGTGTCACTCTTCCGGGTGCAGATGTAACATTTACCTTTAGCTGAGTGCTAGGATGTTATTTGTCTCTCCTCCACCAACTCAGAAGAGGGGGATGACAGGGAATCGGGGGTGCTTGTTCTCAGAGAGGAATGCTCCCATCTCTTTCTTTCCTCAGACACACAGGGGAGAACAGTCTGGGTGACTCTTCCTGTCTCTCTCTCTCTTTCTCTCTCTCCTGTTTCCCTCTGTTCGGCAGCCCTTCAACATTTCAAACACATGCCTTACATACTGTTGTCTCGGCTCACCGTGTGCTGCTCAGTGTGCTAGCATTGCCTCCCACTGTAGTCTCCTGCTGGGGATGTCATCGCCTCAGTGTGCTATAGCCTACAAACCCCGCCAGCACTGACACTGGTGTCATTCACTTTTCATAACTCTGTATTCCACCACAGTTCCCCTCAGATTGTTTCATGTCTGTACGTGGCAAGTAGCATCTACTGTTGTGAAAGTATGGTTAGTAGTATCTACTGTTGTGAGTATGGTTAGGGATAACATGCAGTACAACCTACCTTATACTGATTCCTGTGGTTTAGTAGCATGAAGCACAGCCAGAAAACTGCTCAACTAAGCTGGCAATGGAACACTAATGGAATGTTTGGAACTGTTGCTGCCCTGGTGATTGAGAAATGTGTTCGCATTCTATGTTCCAATTCTATGGTTTTCATTGTGATGTAAAAGAACATGACATTCCTTTACAATAGACCTTGGCTAAGTCGATTATGTCACAATGGGGGGCTGTCCTCTCTCTTCTTTCACAGAGATCAGAGATACTTTTCCTTGACGGCTTCCAATAGTTTGGATTTCTTTTAACTTTTTGGCAAACTCATTAAATCAACTTTTCTTTTTCGTTGCACGACACAAAACCACTCCCAATTTTTTGTTTTTCCCTTTCCCGTTGTGTGTAAATCATGTTTGAACAGAGCTTATTGAACACACTAGACTAGCCCACCTGTAAACTGGACTTCTGCAATGACAAATGACTCAACTCTCTCAGTGTGTGGCTGGCTGTGAGAGTGCTGTGTGAAGAGCCACACCCAGATGTGGAGGTGTGGATGGGTCACTGAACTGGTCACGTATGATAGATATCCCATTATACAATATGTAGATACTAGTCATCACCTATCAAACATATTGAAACCATTTACGTTCCATGTATTTCATTCCAGCTATTGCAATGAGCCCATCCTCCTATAGCTCCTCCCACCAGCCGCCTCTGCTGCACATTCACAACATGTCGATGAATACGTGGGTGAAGGGAAGGGACACTTCTGGTTAAACTTGTTTAAGCCCCTGCATTTCTTCGTAGCGCTCAGACATGAATTCCCCTCCTCCTGTGATTCAGCTAGCAGTGCACAACGCATAGCCTAGTCACATTCCCAGTGTGGCACAGTCAGGGTGGGTCCCAAACGGCACCCTATTCCCTATATAGTGCACTACTTTTGAGGTTAATATGGAGAATAGTTTTTAATATAGTATTTTAAAGAGCAGGTTGGCATTTATTGTCACGAATCTTGCCCTGGAGGCAGCTGTGCAGAGTGGTCACTAGCTGGCACAGCCACAAAGTCATAAAATCAGATTTTAAACCTCTGTTACAGGTCTGAGGCATAAAACCAAGAAAACAGATCATGTGTTCCTGTAAAACAGGATAAATAATGAGACAGAGAAAAGTTGTCTTGTGTCCAGAAATCTGAAGAAGTGAGGTCACGATCACTGTAAAAAGGTCACCAACCAGCAGATCTACTGGCGCCACCTAGTGGTACCAACACATATCAGTGCATGTCAGTGCAGAAAGCTTGGAGGACTTCCAAAAAAAGCAAAAGTAATGGTTATGACTAAATAAATATATTTTTAATCGTACAAATAAAAAACTCCTCACTAAATCCTAATCTTGACCCTAACCTTAACCACACTGCTAACCCTAATGCCAAACCCTAATCTTTAAATTAAGACCAAAAAAAACATTTTTCGTTTTCATTAATTGTTACAATATAGGCAATTTCGACTTTGCAGCTGGCACACCTAGCGGAAATCGCTCAGTTCTGCTTCCAGGACAAGATTCATGACAATAAACGTCAACCTACTTTTAAAGATGAGAGGAAATTGCCCTCATAAAACATGAAGCCATTCATTTCTTCAGGGTTACGGAGGTTCCCTATAAATGCTGAATGAGTTCATTATTAAACACGTACAGTGGCCCAGATAGAACACATGGAGCTGGCGACACTCTCAATCACATACCTCAGAGACAGTGGGTCAGTGCAAACAGTGGTGGTCTACAAGGTGGGGGTTAGACAGTCCTCTACTCTACTATTATCCAATAGGATTGACCTGCGCTAGCTTTATCACCAGACTAGAGACTGAGCTGTCTGTAAGCACAAAAGGATCAAACCTGCTTTGCTGTAGAAACACTTCATAAACTCCAACACTGCGCTACGGAGAGTTGTGCTGTTATAAAACTATAAACCACATACACACACACACACACACTCACTCACACACACACACGCACGCACGCACGCACGTGCACAGTCTGTAATCCATAGATCAAAGACTTCATTTAAGGAGGAGAGAAAGAGAGAGTGTGTGTGTGTGTGTGTGTGTGTATGTATGTGTGTGTGTGTGTGTGTGTGTGTGTGTGTGTGTGTGTGTGTGTGTGTATGTGCATGTGTGTGCGTGTGTGTGTGTGTGTGTGTCTGTGTGTGTGTGTGTGTGTGTGTCTGTGTGTGTGTGTGTGTGTGTGTGTGTGTGCGTGTGTGTGTGTGTGTGTGTGTGCGTGTGTGTGCGTGTGTGTGTGTGTGTGTGTGTGTGTGTGTGTGTGTGTGTGTGTGTGTGTGGGTGGGTGGGGGGGGGGGGGCATTGCTGGATATAAATACTTGATGAATATAGAGCATCTTTAGATACATGTACAGTCCATCATCTCCTCTCCTGCTCTCAGATTTACAATCTAGGAGACACCAAAACATTCAGACATAGCAAGGACATCGTCTACTTGTCGAGAAGGGGTGTGTGTGTGTGTGTGTGTGTGTGCGAGCATGTGTTTGTGTGTGTGTGTCTGCGTGCATGCGTGCGTGCATGTGTGTGTGTATGTCTGCGTGCGTGCGTGTGTGTGTGTGTCTGCGTGCGTGCGTGTGTGTGTGTGTCTGCGTCTGCGTGCGTGCGTGCGTGCGTGTGTGTGTGTGTCTGCGTGCGTGTGTGTGTGTGTGTGTGTTTCTGCGTGTGTGTGTGTTGGGGTACTTATATATGGGTGGGGAAGGACAGCATTTCAACACCTCACTGCCCTGTTGGGAATCAGAGGCTATGTACAACAGAAGGGCACATAAGGATACCGACGAAGCCTAATGATGACAAAGTGCTAAAACGCAGAGTTAATGTGCCACAGTAAAGAGGAGAGCCATATAAATGACGCAATTAAGTGAAACTTAATTTGAGCAAGCTAAAGCTATAAGGCGTGAAATACTTTTCTTATCTGTTTAATGGATGCTGTCTGATGGTGAAAATATTGGAGAGAGAGAGATGAGACGCAGAATATATATTAAATAGAGGTATTGATGACTTCCAATTATTTTTGATGTGAAGTGAATGCTGAAATGGAACCACTATACTCACATGTGATTTCTATGCATTATGCATCAGTTTCTATGCATCGATTCCAATGCATTAGTTTCTTAACCTTGTGTTTTGACGCTAACCTGACAAAATAGCTCTGTTCTAAAGTAGCGTTCGAAACAGTTTTTGTTCATTAGAAGTTGAAAAAGTGATGCAAATTATACACTATTAGTGTACGTCTGGAAAAGTGAGCTCCTTGAATCATTTTTCTAATTTGCAGATCAGGAAAACTGTGAAACTCAATTAATGAATGCATTATTCAATTAGTCTGTATGGTGCTTTAACCAGCTCCTTCAAAGAGGAACCTCAACTGAACCGTTTCCCGTCAGTGAGCAGTGGTACACACATCAATTCAACTTTGAAATATTTAATAAACGCTATATTAATCGTTCTATGGACTGGCTTTATTTAATTAGTTTGTCTTCTCCTGGACTACAACCTCAACTGTCACTGTTAGTTAACACTGTATTACACTTTTCTTTGTTATTTTATAAAATATTACATTTTAATCAAAGATGTGTATTTCAAGTATCCTGAATGAATACCGTTTTTTGTTCAGCTGGGTTTCTTTCTGTGTGATTTGGGATCA